ACGGGCAAAAGTCACACAATGCAACGAACTTGCCAGCCGCCCCAGAGAACAGAATAGAAACTTTAGTGCAACTTTTAAACGCCAACTCATCGGCACACGTTGGAAATGAAATTTCGTGGCATTCCAGCTCTCTCTCCCCCCCACCTTGCACGAGCGCTGGAATGTAATAAAATCATAAAATAAAATAAAATAAAAAATAGAACCCCCCCCCCTTTTTTTTTTGCAACCAAGGGCGGGCGGTCTCTCTCTCTCTCTCTCTCTCTCCCCGCGCCCGAAACTTCCCACGCGTCCTGCACAGCCCCCGGCAAGCTGAGTCAGCAGCGCCGGCTCTTAAAAGGCGCGGCGGCGGACGGCTGCACGGCAGCCGGTCTGGCTGGGACGAGCCCCGGGAAGGGGGCTTTGCTTGGGTGGGGTGGTGGGTTGTACGTGGCTTTTACCTCCTGCTCGCGGAAGGTCTGGTTCTGCGCGTCGATCACCCGGATAGTCCGCTTAATGGGCAGGAGCCCGCCGGCGTCATCGTGCGCTACCATGTCCTACGGCTTGCCCGGCGCTGCCCCTTCCTTCCCCGCCTTAAATCCACCGGCTGGCGAGAAGGGTTACTGGCCCGAGACGATGCCCGGCGCTTCTCGGCGGCCGGAGCCCGGCTGACCGAACGGGAGCGGCATAACTTCCGCTGGGCAAATCCCTCGCCGACTGAGCGCCAGCGGTGCCGGGAGCCGGGACGCCAAGCGGCGGCGGGTGGGGGGGAGGGGGCGTGGCTTCGGCCGCCCGGGGCTGCCATTGGCTGAGCGCGCGAAAAGGGCCCCGCCCCCGGGCTCAGGTTGCCCGCGCACCTTGGCTTGGTGGGAGGGGGGGCTGAGGAAGGGGGGGAGGAAGTGGGAGTGGAGTTGCAACCTGGCGCCCGCGGGTCAAGGGAGCGGCGCCGCCCCCGCAAGAGGCGGAGGAGAGCTTGCGAGCCGCGTGTATTGCGATTGTATTGCGACTGGCCCTTTGCAAGACGCGTGTTCAGAAGGGGCTTGGCGAAAGGTCCCCAAACTTGGCCGCTTTTTAAGACTTGTGGACTTCCAACTCCCAGCATTCTCCAGCCAGCAAGTTTGGAGACCTCTGGGGTTAGAAGCTGACCGGCTCCTGCACCTGTTCCCTAGTTTGGGGCATGGAACCATCTTGCAAGCAAAGGGCCAAACTCAAGAGAGCCCCAAGGACCCCCAAAGTCCCCCTCTTTTCTCCCTCCCTCCTTCCTCTCCCCAAACCCCACTTCCTTCTGACAATGATTACATCACCTTGTTGGGTCATGAAACGTCGGCAAGAAAATCACCAAGCTCAGAGAGCCCCGAGGACCCCACCGTCTTCCTCCCACCACTGCCGCCTCCTCCTCTTCTCCACAACCCCCCACCCTCCCTCTCCTAGCACGGATGATGTTACCTAGTTGGGTCATGAAACGTCTTCAACGAAACAAGCCCGGCCAACAGCAAGGACCCCGACAGTGCTGCTCCTCCTCCTCCCTCTCCGCACACCCTTTTAAGCACTGATGGTGTTACCTAATTGGGTAATGAAACATCTGGAAGAAAACCGCCAAATTGAGAGAGCACCATTGGACCCCACAGTCCTTCCCCCCCCCCCCCCCCCCCCCCCCACAAGCTCCCCTCCCTTCCAGCCCTGAGGATGTTCCCTAGTTGGGTCAAGAAACATCTGGAAGAAAACCAGCAGGCTCAGAGAGCAGTAAGGACCCACAGCCTTCCTCCTCCTCCTTCCTTCTAGCACTGATGTAACCTAGTTGGGTCATAGAACGTCTGCAAGGAAACCACCAAACTCAGAGAACATCAAGGACCTCACATTTCTTCCTGCCCCACTTCATTCCTTCCCCTTCTCCCTCTTGGAAACCCCACTCTCCCTTCCACGGATGATGTTCCCTAGTTGGGTCACGAAACATCTGCAAGAAACAACCCTCCAAACTCAGAGAGAACCCAGGAGCCCTCCTTTCAACCCTGGGGCTACCACCGTTCTCCTTTTTGGACCCTCGGTTCCCAGATGGTGGAGGTGGGGAGAAATCCCTTCTCTGCAAAGACCCCAGGGCAGTCGTCGGTCTTACCGGGTTTTCTGGCACGACTCAAGAACCGCGTGGAACATCAGACCGGCAACCTGACTTGGTCCCCCCAAAAGTGCCCTTGCGACTGGCTGGTGCAGGAGCAGCCACTTTAATGGGATGGAGGCCTCCAAAACCTCTCTGGATGGGAGACAGACACCTGTGGGACCCCCCCTTCTCCTCCCCCCCCAAGGGATTTGCACATGGCGGCCCTGGTTTCCCTATTAAAAGGCTGTTTTAGGGATGGATCCTGTGATTGGAAGCCTGGTGGCCATTTCTAATGAAAGCCTAGCAAGGCCTGGAAGCCCTAGAAGAGGGGTTTCCAACCAGGGCAACTTTTAAGACTTTATAATGGACAATCAGAGTTGGAAGGGATCTTGTAGGTCATCTAGTCCAACCCCCTGCCCAAGCAGGAGACACTACACCATTTCTGTCAGATGGGAGTCCAATCTCTTCTTGAAAGTCTCAAGTGAGGAAGCTCCCACAACTTCCGAGGGCAACTTCTGTTCCATGGGTTGATTGTTCTCCCTGTCAGAAAGTTTCTCCCTATTTCCAGGTTGAATCTTTCCTGGTTCAGTTCCCAGCCATTGTTCCTTATCCTTCGAGTGCTTTGGAAAATAGCTTGACCCCTTCCTCCTCTCTGGGGCACCTCCTCAAATACTAGAAAACTACTATCATGTTCCCCCCTTGCCCTTCTCTTCCCTAGACTGCAACCATTCACCTTATGTTTTAGCCTCCAGTCCCCTCATCCTCCTGGTTGCTCTTCTCTGTACTTTTTCTAGAGTCTCAATATCTTTTTTGATAGTGTGGTGACCAAAACTGGATGCAGGACTCTAGGTGTGGCCTTACTAAGGCTTTATAGAGTGGTATTAGTCCCTCCCTTGATCTCGATTGTATCCCTCTGTTAATGCAACTTAGAATTGCATTGGCCTTTTTGGCTACTGCTGCACATGGCTGGCTCCCATTTAGCTGGTTGTCCACTAAGACTCCAAGATCCCTCACAGTTCCTGCTATTGAGCCTGGTTTCACCCAATCTGTATGTGGACTTTTGGGTTTTCCTTGCCTAAGTGTTGGACTTTACTTTTCTCTACGTTGAATTTAATTTTGTTAGATAGGGCCCAGGGTTCTAGTCTGTCAAGATCCATCTGGATCTTGAGCCTATCTTCTTGGTTGTCAGCTGTTCCTGCCAGCTTAGTATCATCTGCTAAAGTCAATGGGGGAAGCCAGATTACTAACTGAACAACTGCACTGATTCACTTGGGTTTTCTTTGCCTAAGTGGAGGACTTCACTTTTCTCTAAGCTGGCTGAAGAATTCTGGGAGTTGGAGTCCACAAGTCTTAAGAGTTGCCACGGTTGGAGAACCCCGCCCTAGAAAACATCACATAAACCGGCTTTTTCCAGATGTGCAACAGCTGGGGCAGCCGGGGTTTTGCTTTGTAGAAAGTACACCGGCTCTCCTTGAGACAAAACCAGCAAATATTCAATCATTGGAGCAGTTTTTTTCCATTCCACTACAAGGTTCCAGATGTTGGGGGTCAGTCTGATGCACAGTTTGGGCTAACTGGAAATGACTTCTGAATGTGGAATGGGTGCTCCACAGGAGGGGAATGATTGAAATTCTAAGGAAGAATTCTTTTTTTTTTTTTGACCTTTTAGGGATTTCTTTGTTTTCCAGGGAAAATGTGACTGAGGCGGGTTGTGGCGGACAATTTGTGCAACAGCATGTCACAAAAATCCAGACGACGACGAATATTGTTTTGAATAAGTTATTGGGCGGGGGAAATCTATTTTATGCATATAGCTCTACGGGGACCTTAGTTCTCGACTTGAACCATTCACTGAGGTTGCAACGGCACTGGAAAAAAGTGACTTAGGACCAATTTTTCACACTTAACGGCCGTTCCAGCATCCCCGTGGTCATGTGATCGAAATCCAGACGCTTGGCAACTGACTCGCATTTATGACAGTTGCAAGGTCCCTTTGGCGGCCTTTGGACAAGCAAAGTCAACGGGGGGGGGGGAGCCGGATTCACTTAAGGACTGTGTTACTAATTTAACAACTGCTGTCATTTGCTTAATCGTGGCAAGAATAGGGCAAAATTTGCTTTACCGCTGCTAAGGAAGAGAAATGTTGGGCTCCATTGCCGTCGTAAGTCGAGGACCGCCTGTGCTTGAGCACCCAGCTTGGTTCACAAACTGACACAGCGAAAAATTGACAGATTTATAGCCGAAGGTGTTGTGCAAATCCAGCTCTCCAAAGAGTTGATAAGGACTAAGGTTGGCCCTTATCCAGAAATGAAAAGACTTCAGCCATCTGGCAAGGCTGTGTTTGCACAATGTAATTTAATCCACTTCAATTTATGGATTTCCCACACCCCACCCAAGCACCCTAAACTCTGATTAGGTTAGTTCAATTTAGTCAGTGCCATTTAAAGATAACCAAACGGAAGACTCAGATGAACAGAACAGAGTAGAGTAGAGTAGAGTAGAGTAGAGTAGAGTAGAGTAGAGTAGAGTAGAGTAGAATAGAATAGAATAGAATAGAATAGAATTCTTTTATTGGCCAAGTATGATTGGACACATAAGGAATTTGTCTTGGTGTAAATGCTCTCGGTATACATAAAAGAAAAGATAATTTTGCACCTTGAAAAAATAGATGGTTCAATTCTTCTGCAAGTATTTCTCCTGTTTTCTTTGGAATTTACTACAGGTTTTGATCCTGCCTCACACAGACTTGTCTATTTCTTGGAGAAAGGGAGAGGAAAAGGGGGGGTGGGGGATTTTAAAAGTTTAGATAACTGCCAAGCAGTGCCCAAGGCCATTAAAACAATCCCCCAGTAAAGGAATATATAGCAGTGTGTCTGTTGTGTGCTTTTGGTGAGCCAGCCAGCTGTTCTTCCCTTGATCTGAAGAATTGACGTAAAAGGGTAAACATTTCGGCTCCCAAGGTTTAAATTTGCCAAAATCCGAGCTGGAGGACAATTATTTGTTCTGCTTAGGTTCCCTTTTGAAGTTCTTTGCTTTTAACATTCTTCCCTATTACAGTCATGTCAAGCCGAAGAGGAGGAAATGTAATAAAAAAAAAAAACAGCATCCAGGAGAAAAGATGTTTTTTTTAAAAAAAATGTATGATTGTATTTTCTTTTTTATGTATATAAATTTTATTAATGTTCTATTGTTTACATTGATTAGTGCTTAAGAAACATTGTGTTTTCTATGAAACACTAATCAATGGAAATTATAGAAAATTAATATGAAGCACCAATAAATGGAAATCATAGAAAATCAATATGAATCACTAATAGAAAATTAATTTGAAGCAGTAATAAATGGAAATAAATAGAAAATTAATATGAAGTACTAATAAATGGAAATAAATAGAATATTAACATGAAGCAGTAATAAATGAAATAGAAAATTAATATGAAGCACTAATAAATGGAAATAAATAGAATATTAATATGAAGCAGCAATAAATGGAAATTATAGAAAATATGAAGCACTAATAAATGGAAATCAATTGAAAATTAATATGATGCACTAATAAATTGAAATCAATAGAAAATTAATATGAAGCACTAATAAAAGGAAATAGAAAATTAATATGAAGCACTAATAAATG